GAACACACAGTGACTGTCAAGAACAGTGCCAGTTGGGTTACAGATGGGGATAAAGCAGACCCATAAGCTCAAGAATGTGTAGTGGGGGGGAGCACCAGACACCTACTTTCTAACATGTCATAGATGGGGAGGCTCAGTTGCTGTGCAGTAGGCCCAAGCTCTGGACCCAGGTCCCCCACAGATGGCTGGTGTTGGGGAGCACTTTGACCTCCTCTTTCTCCATGCAGTGACAGACCCTGCCCAAGTTGTCAGTTCTGCAAGCAGCTGGTTGTGCAGGCCTATGGGAAGAGGCAGGAGAGGCAGAGCCAGCTCCTGTTAACTACTGTTAGCCTATGCTCAGTCCTGGGCCCTTCCTACACGTGGAAAAAAAATCTTGAGTTGCCAGCTCAGAAGCTAGTTGTATGCTTAGCGTTTCTCTTGGGCAGAGAGCTTTATCCATCATAATGTTTGCCCATGGTAATGTGGACAAACCCACTTGGGATCTTGTTAAAATACAACTTCCGTTGGGAGGGCTGACAGACAGGATTTCATTTCTGGTGAGCCCCAGGTTACTTTTGCTGTGGTCTAGTTAACATTCAAGGTGTTCACCAAAGGGTGTGGTTCAGTTGGTAGAGTGCATTAGACCCTGTGTTCAGTCCCTGGAACCACATTAACCTATGTGTGCCTGTAATCCCAGCACTCCAGGAAGTGCAGGCAGGAAAATCAGAAGTTCAAGATCATCCTTGACTTCATAGTTCGAGGCCAGTCTGAGATATACCCTGCCTAGGAAAGGGGAGGGGAACTGAGGCAGGTGCTGGCAATGACTCCTCTGTAATCCCAGCACCTGGAGGCAGAGGCAGGAGGATTGTTCAAGGCCAGTCTGATCTACATAGAGTTCTAAGGCAGAAGTATATATCAAAGCCCTATTTTACACACACAAAAAGGTATAATATAATGAGACATGCCTGTAATTCTAGCAAAGAAACAAGATGTGGCTGGGGCGGTGGTGGCGCACGCCTTTAATCCCAGCACTTGAGGCAGAGCCAGGCAGATCTCTGAGTTTGAGGCCAGCCTGGTCTGGAGAGCGAGATCCAAGACAGGCACCAAAACTACACAGAGAAACCCTGTCTCAAGAAAAGAAAAGAAAAAAAGGTGTGGTCCTGGAAACAGCACAGGTGCCACCTAGAACAGACTTAGGATGCCTGAGAACAGGGGAGCTCAGAAACCCATACTAAATCGACTTCAGATAAATGTTGACGTGGCCCTGTGTCTGCCTTGGAAGGCTGTGACATATCCTTGTGGTGGTGTTTAGTTCTCTACATGGTCAGCTGACCTACCCTGTCACAAGAACCCAGAGTTATAACAAGTTAAGAACCAAATAAGGTTGGCTGGGCGGTGGTGGCACACGCCTTTAATCCCAGCACTCCGGAGGCAGAGCCAGGCGGATCTCTGTGAGTTTGAGGCCAGCCTGAGCTACCAAGTGAGTTCCAGGAAAATAAGGGCCTGGACAGTAGGTGAATAGGCTAAGCAAGCCTGGTGGCTTGAGCTCCATCCCCAGAACCCACGGAAAGGTGAAAGGTCAATGCCACAAAGTCATTCCCTGCCCTCCACATGACCACTGCAGTGTGCACCAACACACATCACACAAGAAAACTGCTTCCTAGTGGGATTGCTGAAAGAAGAAGGAGAACCAGGTATTGTGGCACACACCTGTAATCCCAGCATTCAGGAAGCTGAGGCAGGAGGATTGAGCGTATGAGCCCAGCCTAGGCTACACAGTGAGACAAAATCTCTTTACAAAAATAAATAAAAATTAAAAAAGAGGCAGGTGGATCTCCGAGTTTGCGGCCAGCCTAATCTACAGAGTGAGTTCCAGGATGGCTGGAGCTACACAGAGAAACCCTGTCTCAGGGGGGAGAAAAAAATGATTATGATCAGAAAGTGGTGGTGCACGCCTTTGATCCCAGCACTCAGGAGGCAGAGTTAACTCCAGCCTGGGCTACAGAATTGAGTTCCAGGACAGCCAGGGCTACAGAGGGAAGAAAGGGGGGAGGGTGTTTCTTGGGGTGCAAGCACTCCAGGGGTGCGCACTGGGAGGAGTGCGGGCTGCTAAGGTAGCTGGATGTCCAGTCTCCCAGGGCTTCCAGCCATGGCGAAATGCCTGTTACCACACTAGAGAATGTAGGTGAGACCGGTTTAGAAAGATCCTCTTGGCTGCAGCTTAGAGCAACTGTTATCAAGAACCAGGCAAGCAATGGTGGCCGCTCGGGTTGGAAGGCTGGAGAGACAATGGCACAGCACACAGTAGGCACTTCACAAACAGTGGTGATTCCTAACCCCAGCACTGGGACGGGCTGGAAACAGAAGCTGGGAGGTGTGTGGATGGAACAAAAGGAAGAGGAGGCGCTGGAAGGTACCTGTCGGCAAACCCGTTGGCCTGAGTTCAATCCCAGGTCACACATGATGCGAAGGGAGAATGACACCCAAAAGCCCTTCGACTCCTACATGTACGCATACAGTGTAGGTGCACACCAGCAAACACGCGTGGCCTAAATATAATTTAAAAAATTACTGCCGGGCGGTGGTGGCGCCCGCCTTTAATCCCAGCACTCGGGAGGCAGAGCCAGGCAGATCTCTGTGAGTTCGAGGCCAGCCTGATTTACAAAGCAAACAGAAACAGCCAGGGCTACACAGAGACCCTGTCTCGAAAAACCAAAAAGAAAAAAAGAAAGAAAGAAAGAAAGAAAATGTAAGTGGAGAGGCTGAAGAGATGGCTCGGTGGTTAAGGGCGCTTGTTGCTCTTGCAGAAAACCTGGGTTTGGTTCCCAGCACCCACATGGAGGCTCACAACCCTCTGTAACTCCAATTCCAGGGGATTCAATACCATCTATGGCCTCCTCAGGTGCGAAGCATACATGTGGTGCACAGACACACATGTAGGTGAAGCATTTACACACATAAATCTGAAAGAATACAAATGCTTCCATGGGAGAAGAAGACAGGACAAGGATGGAGAGGGTGAGCTGCAGTAATGAATAAAATAACAATAAGTTCCCGGTTTCAAGAGTGGTGGTGAAAGACCCTAACCCTTCAGGCTTGCACTCCCCAAGCCCCAGGAGAATAAGGAACTAAAAAATTAATTCCAAGGGCAACCTGACTCAGCCATTATTCAACCACCCCTGCTACAATGTAACAATGTAAAAAGATTTCTGTTAAGAGATGTGCTCAACTGTGATTGGATAGTTGCAAGTGTTCCAGGAAGGACCACTGTGACCTTTGTGTAAACTCCACTCCGGCCCTGATACCCCCCTTGAGGTTTTGGGAAGAATGTACATGCAGACGGACCATGATCTTGTGAAGTGAAATTGTATGGGAATTGTAATCTTAAGGCTTTTGTGGGTTTTTCCTTTAAAAGTACCTATGTTGGCCGGGCGGTGGTGGCACACGCCTTTAATCCCAGCACTCGGGAGGCAGAGCCAGGCGGATCTCTGTGAGTTCGAGGCCAGCCTGGGCTACCAAGTGAGTTCCAGGACAGGCGCAAAGCTACACAGAGAAACCCTGTCTTGAAAAACCAAAAAAAAAAAAAAAAAAAAAGTACCTATGTGACTACAGTACGATGGGACTCTTGCTCTTTGGAGCACAGTTTGCCCGACTGTACAGCCGCATCAATAAACACCTCTTGCTATTGCATCAACTGGACCGGAGTCTGGGTTCTTGGTGTGCCTACTTGAGACTCAAGATTTCGGGGTCCAACAGTAGCAGGCAGGACATCGTGGCGCACACCTTTGCACTTGGGAGGCAAAGGCAGGCAGATCTCTGTGAGTTTGAGACCAGCCTGGTCTACAGAGTAAGTTCCAGGATAGTCATGGCTACATGGAGAGAGCCTGTCTCAAAGGCAGTACGGGTGATCTTAATAACAGCAAAAGATCCATATGCTGTATGCAATGGAGTGGAGTAGAAATGTGGCCAGTGGGACCGCCTTTGCCTAGCATGCACCTGGGCCCATCTCCAGAACCAAGTAAGTGCCAGCATTTATTAAATGATGTTTGCTAAGTGTCAGGAGCTGTTCTAAGCACTTCACACCCAAGTATTCTAGAACGCCTATCCCCCAATAAATATTCGTTATCTTCATTTTACAGATGAGGAAACTGAGGCACAGATTGGTTGAATTTGTCACAGGCAGTGAGGATTCAAACCCAAAGAACCTGACTCTCTGGCGAATGTCCTACAGGCAATTAGCTCTGGCTTGTTAGGAACTGAGTGGTAGGGAAGGTTAACCCGGCGCTGTCTGAACCAGTTGGGGCTGGGATCCAGGGAGGAGCCGGTATCTGAGCCCAGGCTTGTGGGAATCTGCCAGGTTCCTAAGAAGGGGAAAGGCATTCTGGGGGTGAGAAGAACTTCACCGTACTTCGGGATAGGATTTCACTTTAGTTAGGTCATGCCCTTGGCCCCCTGGAGAGCAATAGAAGGGGGCTGAAGGGAGGGAGATGGGGGACAGGGGCAGGAACGACGCTTCCTTCCAGCTTTGCGCCTCGAACAAAGTAACTCATGCAGCAGCAGCGCTGCTTGGGATGGATGGAAAGACCCCTCCTCCTCAGGAGGGTCCTGCAGAGTGTGAACGTACTACACCTAAGACCCCAGAGTTTCCAGAAATGGTGGGAGGTGGGGGGCGGGAGGGAGAAGCGTTGCCCCCTGCTGGGTCCCAGCTTCCGCACACCTTCACCCTACCGGTCCCAGGCGCCTTTGCTCACCGGCGGCCAGCTCACCCTGCGGACCGCCCCTCCCCACGACCCCACCCTCTTACCCCCCCCCCGATCCCCCTCCACCCCCCATCCCCCGCTCCGCGCCAGGTACAACTGCAGCCCACTTGCCGAGCTGCCCACGGCCAGCGCCAGATGCGGGTAGCCGGCCGCGAACCTGTACAGCCGGTCGAGCACCGCCCAGCACTCCGCCGCCCGTGCCTCGGGCTCGCATGACCCAGTTCCTTTTCCTATGCCGCCGCTCCGGGGCACGCTCTGGGCGCCAAGCCAGCCAGGCGACCCCCAAGAACCCTTGCCCTCAATCACTCCCCCGTCAGTCCGGCCAGTTTTGCATTCATTGTCAGCTTTTATTCCTTCCAGCCACAAGGCCCGAAGGAGCTTCCTTTCCCTGGTGGGGCGGGGAAGGCAAGGGTGGAGTTGTCCACACCCACCGGGCCTGCAATCTGGGTGGAAGCGAAGGCCGGCTCTTTACTGAACGCCCTCCATCATCTTCAGGAACTCTGCGGAGAAAAGAGGGACGCGGTCAGGGGTACCACTCCGGCAGCAGAGACCTGGCTCGCAGAGGGGTGCCCCGTCGCTAATGGGTAAATTGCACTAAGCTGCCGAGCACCCTTCAGGCCCTCAAGAGAGTGGGAGGGAACTTGCCCAGCCCCACCGACAAAGCTAAGAGCACCCTCTGGCCCTCACCATCGAAATCAATGCGGCCATCGTTGTTTTTATCGCCGTCCTTCATCAGGGATTCGATCTCCTCATCTGTCACGTGCTCCCCAGAAGCCCGGAAAATCTCAGCCAGCTCCTCAGCATCAATGTAGCCGTCTGCGTTCCTTTGGGGAAAAGGGACCGAGCAGGACGCAGGGACCCGGTGAATTTCTGGAGCCGGGCCTGCCTGACGCCTCAGCTCACACCCTGACCCTGGCCAGCCTGCTCCTTCGCTTCAGGCCAGCAGCCCCCATCGGCTCCCAAGTCGGTGATCCCAGACGCCCCCCTCCCCCGCACCTGTCAAAGATGCGGAAACACTCCGCCAGCTCCTCTTCGCTCTTCCCCTTCGCATCCTCTTTCATCTGGCGGACCATCATGACCAGGAACTCCTCAAAGTCGATGGTACCGCTGCCTGCGGGGAGCGGGGGGCGAGCGTCAGACTTAGCCCAGCACGCACTGAGCCCCTCCCCACCGCCCCCTGCCCTGGAGGGCCCAGCTCACCATCCTCGTCCACCTCCTCAATGATGGCATCCAGTTCCTCTTTGGTGGGCGTCTGCCCTAGCATCCTCATCACGGTGCCCAGCTCTTTAACGCTGATGTCCCCACCACCGTCAGCGTCGAACATGTCAAAGGCAGCCTTGAACTCTAAAGCGGGGAGGGATGGGTGAGGCCAGTCGGATTGTCAGCCTCACACCTGCTCTCCCCTCCCCCGGGGGCCCACTGTCACTCACCAGCGATCATCTCCTCGCTGAGGTAGGACCTGGCCTCAGCCTGTTGGTCCGTCTGGAGAAGACAAAGGGAGAATCAGAGCGCAGAAGGGCAGGATTCTTACCTCAGTTCCATTCTCCTCAGCCCCCACTTGTTAGGAAGTGCCCCTGGGCCCTCCAGAACTACTCCAAATCTGCTGCACCTCCCAGGTAGCCCTCAGTGCCCGCCCCCAGTGCTGAGGAGAGGAGACATTTAGATTGTGCCCATAGTTTTCTCACTGTACCCTCTGACAGCCAAGCCAGGAACTCCCCCACCCCCATGCCAGCAGTGACCTTTGGCAAATCACACTTCCTGGGCTGCTTTGTGGGGATAATAGGAAATCAGGGGTGGGAGAGGGTTTGGGATGTGTTAGCACCATTCCAGGGTGATTTTCTAGTTTCCCTATCTCCTGATGCTGCTTGGTACTATTTGTCCTGAGCTAAATAATGGAATGCAGAGTCTCAGAACACCTGCCAAGTGCTCAGAGGCTGAGACCACAGGAAGACATGGGCAGCTTCGCCTCAGAGGGTTTGCAGAGGTGGAATTTCACACTCAGTCAATGAAGAATACACCTCCGGCACTGTGTCAAATGTGGTGGGGCCTTGCCTTGGTGTGAAAGCAAGGAAATTTTGTTCTGTTTCAACATTTTGATTTCGGTTCTGGTTTTTAGATTGTCTTGCTATGTAGCTCAGGTTGGCCTGGAACTCATGATGTAAACCAAGCTAGTCTCAAGTTCTCCATTTTCCTGCCTCGGCCTCCTGAGTACTGGGGTTTTCACGCGCATAACGTATGACCCTTAATATATGGTTTCCGTGGATTTTTCCAGGTCACAGCCAAGCCAGGCCATCTAGGTCAGGGCTTTGGTGGCCTGGTGGTGAGGAAGGAGTGATGAGCCCCAAGGTGTTCTTCAGCCAGCTGGCCCAGACCCTCCATCGCTCCTCTGCCCCTTGGCCTGATCCGGAGGGTAGGCTATTTTTAGATGGGCATGGGCATTGGCAGCTGGTCTCTGGAGTCCAATTACTCCTTCAAGTGAAGTGGGAAGGAGGATCTCAGAAGAAAACGGCAGCCCCAGGTTAGACCCCCTCTGTGGATGGTCAGGGTCTCTAACTCTGGCCTGTCACACACTCCCACTTCCCATCATCCTCAGGATTCTTGAGGATGCACCCGAGCTGGCTGCAGGCCCCATAGGCCTCCCACCGTACAGGGAAGCCTTTCTTCTCTGGCTGCCACAGGCTCAGCTGGGCCTAGGAAGCCAACTCTGCCTCTGCCTTGCTGGGTGACTTTTTCCTGCCCTCAGGGTCTCCATCTCTCCAATGAAGCAGACAGGCTGAGACCTTTTCCACACAACCCTGACTGCAGAAAGACACTGTCTCAAGCCTCAGAAGGTAGCCAGGACATCACAGCCTTGAGGAACATCTTGACCAGCCCTCCCCATGCAAGAGAAGTCACAGACTTCCCAGGATGTCCACTTGGGTTCCAGCAACTCTTATTGTCCTTCAGATGTCCACACTGCTGCCCACAGAACACCCAGTTCTGGGACTGAAGGAGGCCCAGAAGCAGCCTGCCCAGAAGCAGCCCGCGAACATGTCCTTACCATGGTTGCTGGTTACAGGGACTCCTCTGCTGTGGGTTGTCTCCTTCGCACTCCACCACCCAAAGGTGCCCTAGATCTCTCTAGCCCCCAGGATTTGTAGGGGCATCCTCTCTTCCCTCCTCCCTGCTCCCCAGAACTAGATACCCTGACCAATCAGATCCGGGGGTCAGTAAGCCCCACCCCTCCCAGAGTCCTAGCCCATTACCTAATTTAGCCAAGGGCCTTTGCAGGGAAATTTAAGCTTCTGAGCAGGTGGCAGGCTCTGACGTCTCCTAGATTCTTAGGAGAAGGGCTCGCCCTGCTCCACTGTCCTATGCGGCTCCCTTCCCCCAGTACATTTGCTCCAAGATGGGAGGGGATGTTCAGAATAGAGACAGCATAGTGGAAGTGGAATGGGAAGAGCCCAGGCTTGAAGTCCACGTGACTGTGGGTCCATGGTGAGGCCCTCAAAGCACACCTTCCTCTGAGATAGAAACGGCAGATGTGAGCCCAGACGAATAAGTCACCTAGCTTATGCTAGGCGCCTAGGGCTGGTGCTTGGCCCAATGGGGAAGGGATACCTAGGCCACTACTTACTGAACTCTCACAACACGTCACGTCTCCACACTACGCTGAGCATCTCAGCTCCATGATCTCATCTGGTGTTCATCCTGTGAGGTGGTAACTATTATTACCCCCATCTGACTAGAGTGCTTTGTAAGTCACACAGGTCTACTGAAGAATTCTTTTCCCCCGTTTGGAGGCCAGATCTCATGTGTTCCAGGCTGGCCTTGAACGCCTTAGGTAGCTATGATGATGTTGACGTTCTAATCCCCCTGCCTCCACCTCCAGAGAGTGCTGGGATCTACAGGCATATGCCACTAAGCCCTTTTTAAGTCCTTTGATTGATTTTACAACAGAGTCTCCACTGTCAACTGAGCTGGCCTGCAACTCCTGGGCTCAAGCAATCCTCTTGCCTCAGTCTCCCAGATCACTGAGACTGTAGGCGTGATAGATTTATACAAGTCAGGGCTCTGTGCATGCTATAAAGCACTCTACCGACTGAGCTACGTCCCCGGCCCTGGTGATTCTTTTCAAACTTATTTTTTTTTATGTGTATGGGTGTTTTGTCAGCATGGATGTCTGTGCACGATGTACATGCCTGATGCCCAAATGGACCAGAAGAAGGCATCAGATCCCACAGCTGGGAACCACTGTGAGAATGCTGGGAACTGAACCAAGGTCCTCTGGGAGAGCAGCAAGTGCTCTTAACCAGTTCTTATCATTGAACCTTTACTGTGGAATAAAGTTAGGACAAGCAGGCCTTGGGGACCCACCCAGAAGAAGTGTACAGAGCTATGAGAGTGGGGCTTATATTAGGAGAAATGAACATGACAAAAATAAAAAGGATTCTTCTCTCAAGCTATGCTCATCCAGGGAAAAAGCATTTAGAACCACTTTTTGGTGAGAAAGACAGGTTCTCTAAACAATAAAGAGATAGCAAGTGGATTTGTCCTAGACATTATATGTCTAGACCTTCCCTGCCTCTGCAAAGTCAGGTTCTAGAGTATTCTATTTGTGTCGTAGAGTATCCAAGGCTGAGCCTTCATTTTTTCTTCGTCTTTCCTTATTATTATTAATTTTTTAAGATAGGGTCTCATGTAACTCAGGCTAGCTTCAAACCCACTATGTAGCTGAGGACGACCTTGAACTTCTTCTGACCCTCCTGCCTCTACCTCCCAGACGCTGGGGTTTGGCACATGCACCATCACGCCTGATTTCATTTGATGTTGGGAGCTGAAAGCAGAGCTTTGTGCATGATAGACAAGCACGGTACCCAGTGAGCTGCTGCCCTAGCACTGGAGGCTTCATTTCTATGAGCAAAACGTTCATTCGTCAGTGTAGTTATTCAGTTTTTATTTCTATGGTGAAATCCCTGGGGTTTGGAATGTAAGTGTATATATGAAATATTCGTAAATACACATAAAGTATGACAATATGAAAGGGGGCAGCTAGCCCTTTCCCGAAGTTCAGCTGATCCTCTGTAGAGTGAAAGTGGGAGGCAGAAGGAGTCCAAAGGGAACGCACCCTAAGAATCCACAGGGTCCAGGCTGAGCGGTGAGGTAGGCAAGCCTCGTGGACAGTTGCTAAATCAACAGAAAGAACGTGGAGACAACTAAGTCTGGGGCCAGGGAATGGTGGACCAGACCCCAAGGAAGGCAGACGGACAGTGGCAGCTGGACCGCACTCTTCCCTATATATAGACATTCCAAAGAAAGCTCAGAGGAACTGGGCCAGGCTAACTAAGGCCTCCCTCTGCCAGGCAGAGGATCAAGGCATGATACTCAGGGGAGTTCAGCTTGGACAATGCACACTGGGATCGCTTGTCTGCAGCAGGAGGAAGACAGCCCTTAGCAACCACCCGTCACTAATTCATTCCTGTTTATTTGGTGAACCAGTAAGAACCAAGGTCCCAAGTGCAGTCAAGCAGATCATCCGCTCTCATTCCAGCCTCTCTTCTCACCTTGCTGCCTCACTCTGGCCAGACTTCAGTACTGCCCCAAACACCACCCTCTATGAAAGGCAGGACTTTGCATTTGCTAGAAGCTCCCTGACATCTTTCTCAGCTTTCAAATCGCTTCCTCCTGTATCCCTTCTCCCCTCCACTCCTGCTATGTGGTTCAAGGAGAGAAATTACTTCCAAAAGCTGTCCTCTGACCTCGACACTTGAGCCATGTCACGTGTGAGCCCACACTCAATCATAATAAAAACAGAGAACCAGCGTGGTAGCTGTAATCTCGTGGTGGAGGCAGGAAGATGGGGACTAAGGATTTAATGGCAGCCTTGGATACATCTCAGAAAAAGGAGAAAAAAGGCCATGGGAGGTGTCTCTATCAGTAAAGTACTTGCCACACAAGCATCAGGACTTGAGTTTAGATTCTCATTAGCCATGTGGGACCGTAAGCCCAGCAATGGAAGGGGGATGGGGTAGGAACGGAGACTCGCAGATCCCTGGTGCTCACTGGCCACCCAGCCTAGCTAAATGGCAACATTTGACCTCCATACACACACACGTGTACACTACACACCACACACACAACCAGACAGAGCACTCCTAACTCTGACCCCATTTACATGAGAAATACATCAATGGAAGTGATGGGCCACTTTTTTGTTTGTTTCATTTTTTTTTGTTGTTGTTGTTTTTGTTTTTCAAGACAGGCTTTCTCTGTGTAAGTCCTAGCTGTCTTAAAACTTACTTTGTAGACTAGACTGGCCTCAAACTCACAGAGATCCGCCTGGCTCTGCCTCCCGAGTGCTGGGATTAAAGGCGTGCGCCACCATTGCCCAGCGATGGCTCACTTTTTAAAACTTTAATATTTTGTGTGCACACACACACTCAGATGCCACAGTGCACATGGGGCAGTCAGAGGACAAGCTGCAATTCTCCCCTCCACCTGTGGGTCCCTGGAATTGAACGTGGGTTGTCAGGCTTCCTGGAGGGTCCCACTGAGCCATCTCACTGGCCCACTTATTTGGGCAGTGGCAGGATTTTTTCTTTTTAAATAGGGCCTCACTACCTAGTTCAGATTGCCCTCTAAATTACGATCCTCCTGCCTCAGCCTCCCAGGTGCCACAATTGCCAGCATGCTGTCTTTCTTGCCTGACTGGACAGACCAGATTTCTTTCCATGTTATGAACATCAGCTCTTTCTTTTTCCTTCATTCCTTCCTGTTTGTTTAGTTACTGCTGTAGTTGTTTTGAGTGAGGTCTTGAAGTCAGGATCCTCCTGCCTCAGCTACTCAGGTGCTGAGATTACAGGTGTGCATGATCATGCCTGGCCGAACCTCGGCTGTGCATCCTGACTTGCATGGCATATACTGAAAAGTTAATGACCGGCCAGTAGCAGGAGAATGAGTGGTGTCTTTCTGTCTTCACAGTGTGCCTGTATGCACATGCAGAGTGGTCAGGCTTAAGTCCCAGCTTCCCTACTTTCCTTCCACCAGATGGGAGTACCTCCCTTCTTTTCCCAGGTTTCACTATGTCACCCTGGCTGGCCTAGAACGCACTCTGTAGACCAGGCTGGCCTTGAATTCACAGAGACTCACCCACAAGTGCTGGGATTAAAAGTGTGTACCACCATGCCTGGCTTTTTTCTAAGACTTATTTATTTTTAATTATATGTATATACGTGTCTGTGTTTGGGTTTGTGCACATGTGTGCAGATACCCTTGGAGACCAGAAGAGGGCATTGGATCCCCTGCAGTTACTGGAGGTTATAAGCCACCAGTTGTGGGTGCTGGAAACCGATTTCTGGTCCTCTACAAAAACAGCACACACTCTCAACCACTAAGTCATCTCTCCAGCCCCAGCCTCAATTTCTTCATATTGAAAATGAATCATTACTGTCCAGTAGCTGCCGCCTATGAGAACGACATGTGACAGTGTGTGAAATGCCTACAAGAAGACAGCATGAGTCCTAAAAACTGAGAACTTTCTGTTCAATGAAGGCCAGGTTTTCCATTCAAAAGTATCTTCCCATCCGTCCCTGGGCCCTGAAACGGGGTAGGAGATACCTTCTGAGACACCTTTTTTGTTTGTTTGTTTTTGTTTTTTGAGACAGGGTTTCTCTGTGTAGCTTTGGAGCCTGTCCTGGATCTCGCTCTGTAGACCAGGCTGGCCTCGAACTCACAAAGATCCAACTGATTCTGCCTCCGGAGTGCTGAGATTAAAGGCGTGTGCCACTACTGTCCGGCTGAGACATTTTATTTTGAATCAGGATTTCTCTATTCTGGCCGTCCTGGAACTCGCTACATAGAGCAGGCTGGCCTTGAACTCAGAGAGATCCCCCTTTCTCTGCTTCCAGGGTGCTGGGATTAAAGACATGCGCCACCACGCCACCATGCTTGGTCTTTGAGGTACCTTGTTTTATTGTCTAGCTGGCCGATTTCGACTCTGCCCTGCTAGGCCTTGCGACAGGAAGCAGCAATAGTTTTCTTGACTACTGTTACTCGGCAGTAAAAGATAAAACTGCAGTTGTCCGAGAGCTACAGAAATTACCCGACCGACCCTGCGAGCGTGGGAAAAGAAGTCAAATCCAAGAGCTCCACACTAGAAATCTCTGGCAAACTGTGCGACCTTGTACAAGTAACAGCCTCTCTGCGTCTGTTTTCCTGTTTGACTACTTCCCATAGGTGAAGCCCAGACGAACGCTCACACCAGGCACTGCTGTAAGGGCCTTACAAGAGCTGAAAATGTAGTCTTAGTATTAGAATTCATGTTTCATAGGAGAAAACCTAGGCTGGGCGAGGCCGATTTCAGGCTTTTCTCACGTGAGAACCGAGCTCCCAAATGCCCCGAAATTACATTGTAAAGTTACACAGCACTGCATGGAAATTAGGGGGAAAGCTTGGGGCTGCCCCGGGAGTCCGGTAGGGGTGCAAGGCCAGCCCGATCCGGGACGGTTTCCGGGGAGGCTTGGGCTAGCCCGGCCACCGCCTGCATCCCTCCCGAAGGCAGCATCCCGGGATTCTAGCAGTTCCAGGGGCGGGCGGGGCGGGGCGGGGCGGGGCCGAGCTGGGCGGTGACAGGAAGCGGCTAGGCGGCGCTGTGAGCGCCCTGGGTCGAGAGCCCCTTAAAGCCACGGGTCGCTGCACCGGATCCGGGGAACCCGCCCTGGACGCAATCAGGACGCTGAGGGTGGAGGCGCGGCCCGGGCTGCGGGGAGGGGCAAGGTAGAGCCCGGCCTCCTGCACGGCCCGGGCTACGGCTGCCCCTGGGCGTGGCCTCTTCAGTCCCACCCACTGACACGCCCCCGGGCCCCTCTCCGGGCGGGGGTCCCCTCCCTCTCCGGCCCTGGACCGAGCTTAGCCAGCTCCCCCCCGGGTGCCATGGCCTCGCGGCTCCTGCACCGGCTGCGACACGCCCTGGCTAGCGATGGCCCCGGGGAGGCGGCGGCAGGCCCCGAGGCCGAGCAGTTCCCTGAAAGCTCCGAGCTGGAGGACGACGACGCCGAGGGCCTGTCCTCTCGCCTCAGCGGCACCCTCAGCTTCACCAGTGCCGAGGATGACCCGGACGACGAGGACGAGGACGACGAGGCCGGCCCCGACTCGCTGCCCTCCGGAGACGGGACATCGGGAGAAGACGCAGGCGAGTGCGGGAGATCGAAGACAGGAACCTCCGGGCTTGGTTAGGCCTCCCCGCTGGCTGCGTTCCGAGAGCATCTCGGGGGCTGAGTTATCTGCCTGAAACTCTTGACACCTTAAGCGTTTCCAGACACTGTTTGGCTGTGTGACCTTGAGTCACAACCATGGGAACCACCCCATCTCAGGGTTTTTGTGGATCTTAAATGCACAGGACCAGGGAAACAAATGTATGGCGTGCTAGCTGATTTGGGTGGAGATATTTAGCATCTACTGTAAGCCAGGCGCTGGGATAAAGCCCATCTCGCTGGCGTGAATGAGGTCATGGCATTTTGTTTACATTAACCCCGGCGCTAGCTAGCCCCTTAACATGACTGGTCATGTGCTTGTGCAGAACGAAGCCCCCCACCTGATGGACAACGGGGCAGTCAACTCCTGGCTCGGCAGCTGCAGGATTTCTGGAAGAAGTCTCGGAACACCCTAGTTCCACAGCGGCTGCTCTTTGAGGTGACCAGCGCCAATGTTGTCAAGGACCCTCCCTCCAAGTACGTGGTGAGTGAGGTTCCAGGAACCCTTAGGCAGTGTGTCTAGAAGTCTGACTGAGAAAGTGTTGAACACTACAGCTTTCTGGCTATGCAGTTATAAATGGCTGTCCTAATTTTACACCCAGGGGGAACTGAGGCAGGATAAGGGGATGAATGTAGCTTGAGCAAATCCTCAGGCAAGTGACAGTGAGAAAGTGACCTTTAAGGAGCTGCCTCCTGTCACAACCAGTGTGTGCTGTCCGGTACCCCATGGATTTTTGTCACCTTCAGCAAGACATAGACTTGAGACCCAGTTGCATGGGTCAGGATTAAGGAAATGGGCTTTGGATCCAGGTCAGCCTTGATTCACATCCCGTATATTTTATCAGTGGCTTCACCTTGGGTGGGTTCTGTAACCTTGATGGCCCCAGTTTCCTCGTTTGAGAAGTAGAACAGTTCACAGGATTATATCAGGAGGTAAATGAGACCAGGCACAAAGAACCCTTGGCATTGTCTGGCATTGTGAAATATTAAAATGGTAGCTAAATAGTTTCAGATTCCCTAATCTGAAATGCTTGAAAATCCTAAGCATTTGAGTGTCAACATGATGCCACAAGTGGAAAATTCCACATCTAACTTCATGTGAAGTGTACTCGACATGTAGGCCCATTTAAAAATATTGCATAAGGACTTGAAAGGCTGAGGCAGTAGTCACAAGTTCAAAGCTAACCTGGGCTAAAGAGTGAGTGCCAAACCAGCTAAGGCTACACATCTAGACACCCCTCCCCCCAACACACACACACAAAAGGGCCAAACACCAAGTGGGAATGTAGCTCATTGATACAGCACTTGCCTACCACGCTCTGGAACTGAGCTTTATCCCAAATCCTGCAAGTCATATAAAACTACCTTCAGGGCTGAGTGTGCTGGTGCATTTGGGAAGTAGAGGCAGATATATTAGGAGCTCCAGACCAGTCCAGATACATAGCAAGCCCAGCTGGGCCACATAAAACCCTGTCTCAGAAACAAAAACCCAAAGTACATAAGAAATATAAATGAGTTTTAGGGGCCCAGATGTAATGCTCAGTTGGTAGAGTGTATGCCCACCACTACATAAACTGGGTGTGGTGGCACACACCTTGGTCCTAGAGCTTAGAATAGGGAGGAGGATGGAGAGTTCAAGATCAGCCTCAGCTACGTAAGCTCAAGGACAGTCTTCTGGAATATATGAGAGCCTGTCTCAAAACAATATTTTTTATTTACTCTGTAGATTTTGTATCTAGATTTGGGTCTCATTTCTAAGAAATCTCATTGTGTAGATGCAAATATTCCAAAATCTGAAATATTTCTGGTCCCAAGCACTTTGGACAAGGGATCCTCGGCCTGGATTCTTATTTAACTTTAGGTTGGAAATGTCAGGTATCTAGGGCCTGCAGCAACCTCCTGACAATCAGTTCTCCAGCATTCCCACCTCCAGCAGCATCAGGACTACGGAGCTGAGTACAGAGGCATACGGAGCTGGGCCTGGAGTCCCTGCTCTCCTGCTGTGCAGGAGAGACTGGCCAGGTCCTGCTCCCTCCAGGTCTGAAACCCATGAGCTAGCTGGTCCTGTCCTGGCAGTGGTAGCTCCCAGCTTGTCACTTCCCTCCTCTTCACACCCTCCTCCACCTCTGACTCAGCAAGAAAGGGGGCCTGGAGTCCTGGAGCCCTGGCCCATATTTGGGTCTCTCCACCCCTCTCTGTTGCTGTTAGTAACAAGGACCACGCCCATGGGGTGACTGTTCCACTTTGTGCAGGGACTGATAGATGATGCAGGCTTTATATCTTGTTAAGGATCAAGTCCTTACGCACACTAAGCAGGTGCTCTATCACTGAGCTATACACTCCTGGCCCCGATGGTCCAGTCTTCAGTGGCAAACGTTCCAGAGCTCTGGAGTGGGTAAGGGGTCATGCACAGGAATGAGACACCACGGATCAGTCAGCACAGAGCATCTCTCAGAAAAGAATGGGGGTGACTCTGGGGACCTAGGTGGGAAGGCTCAAGGAAGGGCAGGGGCATCTCCTGTCCTGATCTATGTCTAGAAAGTGAAGCCACCTCCTCTGTGCAGTGGGCACCCCATGTCTCCATATTTCTTCTCCTGGAGGTCAAGAGCACAGGTTTTAGAATCAGATCTCTGGGCCAGTCTTTGTGCCCTTCACTCCCTGTTGGAACCTGCTTCCTCAGCTGACAGACAAGACACCTTCCTTGCAGCGCTGTTGACAATGACGAAGTGACACTTAACTGGGGAAGTACTTGGTCCAGCACGAGGCCACACTTAGGGCAGTCAACAGAACAACAGTCACACCGTGGGCGGAGCGGGGTCGAGGTGCTTCCGATGGAACCCAGGGCCTCATGCATGTTAGGAAGTACTCTGCCACTGAGGGACAGCTGAGCCCCGACAACCACAATCACTGTTACCTCGTTACGAGCATCAGGTGAAATAAATAGATATAAAAAGGTCTTTGGCGCCGGGCGGTGGTGGCACACGCCTTTAATCCCAGCACTCAGGAGGCAGAGCCAGGCGGATCTTTGTGAGTTCGAGGCCAGCCTGGTCTACAGAGCGAGATCCAGGAAAGGCGCAAAGCTACACAGAGAAATCCTGTCTCGAAAAACAAAACAAAAACAAACAAAAAAAAAAGGTATTTGGCAAAAAAAGTAAAAATAAAAAGAGGGGAGTAGGGAGTAAATATGATCAAAATATGTCATATACATATATGAAATTCTCAAAGAATAAAAATATTAAAATTTTAAAAATCAACCTAGATGCATAAAGGGCTCTTCCTAAAGTATGTCCTTTGGAAAACAGCTTTTCTAGGCTGTGAATAACTGTAGAAAACAAGAAAAGAGTGAGGCCTGGTAGTGCAGACTTGTGTGTTCAGTACTTGGGAGATAGGGGCAAGAGGATCAAGAGTTCAAAGCCAGCCTGGGAGAAAAAAGAAAGAAAAAGTTCCATAGGCAGTGTGTCTGAGCAATGCAGAGTTGATAGGTATAGAACAGGTTTTATAAAATGCACTATGAACTTTGCAAAGAAGAAAGGCTAGGTAAACCTAAGTGGAATAAGGGGACAGTTAGCAGTTGCACTGGACACATTTGAGGGACTGGGTTTGCTGGGTAGCCCTTTCATATGGAACACCTGCAGACGCCCCTTTAAACCCTCGGCTTCCATCAGTCCTCATTAGCCCTAACTAATCCTTACTCTGGTTCTCAGGACATCCTTGCTAGTGTTTACCAAACGGGAATGATTACATCCTTACAGTTTTGTCTCCTTTAAAATGTTGCTGGTAGGCCAGGGAAATGGCCCAGTGGGTAAAGGTGTTTGTCTGACAATCTGATCTCTAGAACCCATGGTGGAGAGTGACCCCCCCCAAAGTTGTTCTGACCTCCATATGTTACTGTGGCATATGTGCACAAATATAACACACACACCATGCCACACCACACCAGATACAATTAAAAATAAATAAAATGTAACTTATACCACTCTTGGCTTACCTTTTGGTGGTGGTGGTGGTGGTGGTGGTGGTGGTGGTGGTGGTGGTGTGTGTACTGAAACTAGGGCCTTGTGCATGCTTAGGCAAGTGCTTTACCCCTGAGTTATATTCTCAATCTTCTTTTTAATGTGTATTTTGAGATAGAGTCTCACTAAGTGCCCCGGGGTGGTATTGAACCCAGGCAGTCCTGAGCATTCAATCCTTCTGCCTCAGTCCTGCTTTCATAACATTGTTCATTAAAGAAAAGAACCCTCTTTTTCTAAAATAAGTTTAAAACCACCTCTATAGCACTACTTGTCAAAAAAGAGAAGAAATAGTTGCCAGGCCAGTGATTCAGGTCTGTAACCCCATCTCCTTGGAGACTGGGGTCATAAGTTTGGAGCTTTTGCTACATAGTGAATTTAAAGCAATCTCAGGCAATTTAGTGAGACCCTGTCTTACAGAACACACACACACACACACACACACACACACACACACACACACACACACACACAGCTAGGCATGGTGAGGCGTAACTATAATGTGTGAAAAGAGGATTAGGAGGAGGTCATCCTCAGATACCCAGCATGTCTGAGGCAGCTTGGGCTACATGAGACCCTGTCTCAAATAAATGGGGACAGGGACTGGAGATATAGCTCAGTAGTAGTAGATGCTTACCTAACGTGGGCAAAGCCCTGGGTTCAATCCCCAGAAACACATACACACACACAGTTTGAGGCTAAAGATGTGGTACAGCGTGCCTAGAAGGGCCAGGGTTCATTAAACCCTGCCCAGACACTGTTCCTTGAAGAGTGCTTTGAACTGAGATTTCTGGCTCTTTCCTAAAAATAAAGATGAATGGTGTTAGAGTAGCACCAAGTTGTGCTTTAAAAAAAAAGAGTAGAAAAGATGAGCATAGCAGCACATGACTGTAGTCCCAGCTGTTTAGAAGGATCACTCGAGCTTAGGAGGTCAAAAGCCACCAGGCAACAAAGCAAGACCCGCAGCTCGAAAGAAAGAAAGAAAGAAAGGAAGGAAGGAAGGAAGGAAGAAAGAAAGAAAGAAAAAAAAGCCATTCCTGGTGGTTTGTGCCTGTAATCTCAGCACTCAGGGCTCAGGCAAGATCACCAGGAGTTCAAGGCTAGCCTGGACTCAGTGTATCCCAGAGGACTGGAGGTGTGGCTTACTTAGCATACACAAAGCCCTGGCTTCAATCCCCAGCTCCTCATACATTGGGTGTGGTGTTGTATTCCTGTAATGTCAGCACTCGACTACATAACAAGTTTGAGATCAGCCAGGAGCATACAACTCTCAAAAAACAAAACAGTCATCAAAACAGCCCAGTACTTGTCATGACCTGATGACATGAGCTCAGTCCTCCAAATCCATATGGAAGGAGAGAACCGAATCCCAAAAGTTATCCTCTGACCCCCATTTGTAAGCTATGGTATCAAGCTCAGGTATGTGTTCCCAAACACAAGACACACACAACACACACCCTCCCCCCCTCCCCCCTCCCAAAAAAAAAGAAACAAAAAGAATTAAAGGGACTGGGCATGGTGACACATCCTTTAGTCCCTCCACTCAGGAGGCTGGGCCAGATTAGTGAATTAGGGGCCATCGTGGATGAGGACCAAAAAGAAAGGAAGCCAACAGAAACAGGAACCACCCTGTTTATGATGCAGTATACTCCAGAGTGCGCCACCTAAAAACTTTGAGCACCAATACTTGGACATTCCCTACCTGAGCAAACGATGACCTTGACCCAGGAACTTTTCCCTAGAGCAGAGACAGATCTGAGGGTTCCTGCTTGGCCTGACTGAGGTCACTGGAAGGAGGCTGACTTGGGGTTACCTGAGTCCTGGTCTAGTGAACCCATAAGAATGAACTCCCTGCCGGGCGGTGGCGCACGCCCTTAATCCCAGCACTCGGGAGGCAGAGGCAGGCGGATCTCTGTGAGTTCAAGGCCAGCCTGGTCTACAGAGTGAGTTCCAGGACAACCAGCGCTACACAGAGAAACCCTGTCTCGAAAAACAAAAAAAAAAAAAAAGAAAAAAAAAGAATGAACTCCCTAGGGGCAGGGAAAACTTCCCCAGAAGCAGTAAGCAGGTGGCAGCCCCAGACACTGAAGTTCGTTTCTGTCTTTTTCTCCCCTGTGCTTCCTTGGGCTGGGTCATTTCAGAGGAGCCTCAGGTAAGATGGGAGTGGGTTCCTGGCCACTGCTCTGCAGCGTCCTCCCTCCTACACAGTCCCGGGGGTGGGGGCGGGGGGAGCTGAGGTGGAAAAGTAAAGCCAGGAGTGCGGAAGGGAGGGAAAGGACCCACAGACGGTTTACATCAGTCCTGACATCCACCTTCCCTACAGCTCTACACCCTCGCCGTGATGGGCCCAGGGCCACCAGATCGCCAGCCAGCCCAGATCTCCCGCCGCTACTCGGACTTTGAGCGGCTGCACAGAAACCTGCAGAGGCAATTCCGGGGCCCCATGGCTGCCATCTCCTTCCCCCGTAAGCGCCTGCGCCGGAACTTTACCGCAGAAACCATTGCCCGCCGGAGCCGGGCCTTTGAACAGTTTTTGAGCCACCTGCAGGCAGTGCCCGAGCTACGCCATGCTCCAGACCTGCAGGACTTCTTCGTGCTGCCCGAGCTGCGGCGGGCACAGAGTCTCACCTGCACTGGCCTTTATCGCGAGGCTCTGGCACTCTGGGCCAACGCCTGGCAGCTGCAGACCCAGTTGGGCACCCCTTCTGGCCCAGACCGCCCCCTGGTGACTCTGGCTGGGTTGGCTGTGTGCCATCAGGAGCTGGAGGATCCTGGGGAAGCGCGAGCATGTAGTGAGAAGGCTCTGCAGCTGCTGGGGGACAAGAGGCCTCATCCTTTCCTGGCACCCTTTCTAGAGGCCCATGTCCGGCTCTCCTGGCGCCTGGGCCTAGACAAACGGCAGACAGAGGCCCAGCTTCAGTCCCTACAGGAGGCAGGCCTTACCCCTATCCCACCCCCCAGCCTCAAGGAGCTGCTCATCAAAGAGGTGCTGGACTAACTTTTACCTGTCTTAAGGCCACTTCTGGGAAAGGGGCTGCCCTAGGTCAGGGGGTTGGGGGCCGTAGAGGACACAGTGAGCAACCGGGGGCTGAAAGGGGTTATGGGAGCCCCAAAAGTAGTTCCAGAAAGAGTCTGCAGCAGACTGAGAGGAATTCGTTTTGTGGGGCTGGACTCCCAAACAAGCTTTGGCTGGGGTTATCCTAGGATGATACAAGGATTCGGAAGTTTTGGCATCGGCTCTCCAGCCTACCACGAGGTCAGGATCAATGTTTCCTTTCCGTGGGCCTCTACACCAGTACAACAGCTTGGCTGAAGCGCTGGGGACTGCTGGGGTCCTGGAGTTTAGAGACAGGAGGAGGGCTGTAGCTCTGCCCAGGGGAATTAAGGATCAGCTACTCCAGTGTTAGCAATCTCTTTATTGGATGTGAGAGGCAGGAAGCCCAGCTCTCAGCTGTGACTCCTGCCCTAGAAATGGCAGTAGCAAGAGTTCTTTGAGGCCCAGGCCAAGCCAGTTACGTTTGACTACAGTTTACTCGCTGACACCCGAGGTTTCAATCGGGATCACGCCCTCCTGGGCACAGGTCACAGCAAGGACCCCATCCCGACGCCACAGCCGCCCATACACTAGCCCTCGAGAGCCACCTGTGGGCAAGGAGAAGGGTGAGGATGGCCTCTGCTTCAGCACAACCCTGCTTTGCCTGGGGAGGGGTTTGACACAGGGCAGAGCTGCCCCACACGAGGGTACATTGGAACATCACGCACTACTCCAAATACCCGTGTGAGCCTGTTATAGTCACTGGGGGAGGGGGCTCCCCTCCTGTAGATGGTCTAAAAGCACTTTCATATATGTGCTCACTTCCTCAGAAGACCAGAGAAAGACACTCAGACAAGAGTCTCCACAGGCTTGGCCAAGCAGATGCCGCTTCTCAGACCACCGGTCAGAAATCCCATTCTTTCCTTTTGTAATAAGCCAAGCAAGTCCTCCCAGCTGGTCATCCACCACCAAGGGGAGGGAGTGCTGAGAGAGGACCTGAGACCACAAGGTATGGCCTCCCATTCCTTTCCATCTAGAGGTTCTTAACCTTGGTGGCTCTGGCTCGAGATAGTTATTCTTAAGAAGCTAACTTTGGCTTTCTTTACATGCAGCAGAGCCCACTCAGATCTAACTGTAGCCAGAGAGCACGGGCTTTGTTTCTTGTACTGTTTTGCAGACAATGACACTAAAGTACAAAGAGGCTCAGGCTTGGCCCCAAGGATCAGGCCAAAGCTGATTGAGTGTCCTAACTTCAAGGTCGTGAATCTTGTCCTGTGATGCTCGGTGGTATCCCAGTAACCCTTTCCTGACTGTAAGGGGTTGCTTAAGTTTTTGTCCGTTTTATAAAGCAAAGCTTTTCTTCCTTTGAAGTGTACTTCATTAGAAAAGAGCCAGGGCTCTAACATAGACATCAATGAGTCTGGGTTTCTCTCGGCTCGCTACAGGAGCATCCTTAGAGACCACTGAGTGCCCTTCCAGATCCTGCCAACTCATGAAATCACTCAGGGAGCTCCTTAGAACACAGTTTACAGCCAGGCATGGTGGCACACACTTTAATCCCAGCACTCGGGAGGGCAGAGGCATTCGGATCTCTATGAGTTCAAGGCCAGCCTGATCTACAGAGCAAGGTCCAGGGCAGCCAGAGCTACACAGAGAAATCCTGTCTTGAAAAACCAAAACCAAACAAACAAAAAGGGCAGTTTCCTGGACCTGATCCAGGACCTGCTGGGGCAGAATGCAATCTGTTTAGAAAAAAGCTCCCTCAAGTGGCAGCCTGATGGCTTACTAGGTTTAGATAGTGCTGTCAAATATAACCCTATTTATTCAGATGAAAAAACTGAGAAGCAGGGCATGGTGGCTCCTGCACTTGGGAGGTAGAGGCAGGAGGATCAGTAGTTCCAAGCCAGACTCCACTCCATATAGAGTTCAAGACAACAGGGGTTACATGAGACCCTGGTTGGTTTAAAAAAAAAAAAAGAGCTGGGGTGCAGGAGCACACAAATATTCACAGAGCAGAGATATGGATCTCAGGCAAGTCAGAGCTCCATAGTGAGACCTTGCCCCTCCCTGCCAAAAAAAAAAAGAAACAAAAAAGAAAAGGTTTCAGAAAGGAGACAGGATTTTCCCAAGTTCGTACACGGAAACTAAAGTGGTCTGGGCACATGCACTGGGTCTCTGAGATAAACTCAATCATTCCTGGCATAGTTTGGATACTTTTGAGGGGCAGCAGTGTGCAAGGGCCCTGTGCAGCATCCCCAGAAAGCAGGAAGAGGCAGCAACAGTTACAAATAAAGCAGGTTCCCTACCATCCCAAGGACACTGGCCCCCAGGCCCACACTCACCAGCCCAGGGACTCTCGCACTCATAGAGCATCCAGTGGTCAGCTCGGAACGGGGCATGGAACCACATGGAGTGGTCCAGCGAGACCATGAACTTCACTTTGTACTTGGACTGGTGGGGCAGCAGTGCTGTGCCCAGGAAGGCGTAGTCAGAGATATAAGCAGCCACACAGCAGTGCATCTTGATGTCGCCCTCCCCTGCAACAGGTCCCAACCCCATCAGTCCTGGGCTCCTGGCTGCCCAGCTCAGGATCTGCAGGGAGGTGGGGGAGAAAAGGACTACCACACACAAAGTAGTCACTGTGCAAGGACACCTGGCCCAGGGTTGGGGGGTGGGAGTGTGTGTGTGTGGAAGGATAAAGGAGGTGGGGACTAGGGAGGCCAGGGGTAAGACAAATGCAAAGCCATTCTTCCCAAGTCTCTCACCCCCAACCACTCTGCAGTCCTGGAACAGGCACCTTCCAGTTTACACAAAGACGTCTATGGTTAGCCGCTGACCTAGATAAGAACCCTCAGCAAGGTACCTTGCTTCCCCCAGAAAGGGCCAACAATGGGATTACAGTCACCTCATTATTCTCATGTTAAAGGGGGAAGGGCTCTGGTGAGACAGAGCCAAATTCTGCAGAACTCAGATTAGGAAATGGGCCCAAAGAGAGAGTGGGATACTCTAGCAACAAGGGCAAATAGACACTTGGAGTGTTTTTCTCCAACTCATGGGTCCTTCTTACCAATATAGCCCCGGGCTCGCACCCAGAACATCTGTTTGGGCTCCAGTGTCTGCAGCTGGCTCAGGGTGGGTGGGTTCACTAGCTTGATCTCAATAGGTACCCTCCTGGGCAGCAATTCGGTTCAGCCCCACTCGGTATTTCTCGTGGAGGTTAGGGTCCCTGAAAGTAAAGACAGGGACAAGGAGGCCCAAGGAGAGGGAGCTTCTCTGTGCTGCCTCTTCTGGTCCCCACCATTTGTCCACAGGGTCTGCTGTCCTGCAAAGCTTCCTCATGGAGCTGGCAAAGTGTTTGAACCCCTTCCTCATCACTTCAGCCAGGCAGCCTTGTTATCTCTCTGAACCTATTCCCATCTGAAACACGAGAAAGGTGATGTGACCTGTCTTACAGCAAACACACAGTTAAGACCTCGGCACCAACCCAAGCATTGCACACGACCATAACCCATTCCTTGCCAGGATGTCACATGACAAGTGTGGTCCTCACTCCAATTGATGAGACATGATCACAGGAAACCCAGGTGGCTTGCTCAGAGAATGAAGGGTCTGATGTCAGGCAGTCTGGACCCACACACAGTTCATACATCAACCACTCATTACTGCGAACGTTGAAGAAAAGTCTCCCAATGTGTCTGCATTCTCTATCCTGAGCAGTTAGGAGCCTGTGTGCTGGGGTGACCATTTCCATGGACCCCTCAGTGCTCTTAGTAGGCTCTGCTCTTTCCACCCCATCTGGTGGACTGTTCATCTGCATTGTCCACCATGGCAGCCACCAGTCACATGAGGACTGAGAACTTGAAATGTGACTACTGTAACTAAAGAACAACATTGAAGAGGGATGTGGGATGGGGATGCAGCTCCATGACAGAGAGCTAGCATGCACAAAGCCCCGGGGATTCGATCCCTAGCACCACATACAAAAAGAACTCTTCATTCTAGCTCATTAATTTAATATAGCCTATAGGGTTAGTAGCTACCTTATTAATGAGCACAGTCCTAAATTCAGGCTCCTTTAACAAGAATACATTATTTTTATTTCTGTGCACACCAAGCCCTGTGTTTTATTCTTGGCTGTTAGTGGTATAATACTCACATAGCACCTGCTAAGTGCCTGTGTACCTCTTACCTCATTTAATCCTCACAGCAGCCTTATGAGGTGAGTTATGATTAGATCCAGGTATAACCAAAGGTATGGACTCAGAGTGGGCAAGCATTTGTCCAAGCTCATACAGATATTAGAGACCGAGTCTAGACTTGAATCCTGGCTATTCAGGCTCTTGAACCCACACCCATCCCACATGCCCTGCTGCTACCCCAGTGTCCAGCACATGCTACAGGACCTCTTGCCCATCGGCACAGCTGGAGAAATGGCTGCTCCCATACTTTAGATGAAGAATTCGGGGCCTTGAGAGGCTGCTGGATGGGGAAGTCGCATAGCAGGTAGGCACTAACAGAGGCCACAGCCCTGGCCAGAAGCCATGTGCCTGTGTCTGTATCCAGAGCTCTTGCCCATAGTCCAGCATTTGTCAAACTTTATTTGTTGTGATCTCAGTGAGAAATATATCTTACCAAGGTAGAGTCAAAATATTTAGAAGACACTAAAGTGAAGATACTAACCAGTAGGCCATACTCTGCAACAGGGTCCCAGAGGAGGACACTCACCCTGCCATACATGAACTCCAAAGCTGCTGCATCATAGGCCTGAAGTAGGAGGGGTCAGTCAGAGGACTGGAGGCGATTTATTTACCCAGTGGCTGCAAAAATGTGTATTGTTGGATTCAAGTACAAGAATTGAACCCACGGTCAATTTTTTAAAATATTTTATTTCATTTATTATGGATGAGTAGGGGCAGTATGCACATGTTCTACAGCATGTACGCAAAGATGATACACGGAATCAGTTTCCTACTTACACTTTTCTATAGATCCCAGGGATTGAACTCAGGTCATCAGCAAGTACCTTTACCTGCTGAGCCATCTCTTCGGCCCCAAGCCAATATCTTAATAACAGTAAAGCTACCCCAGGCCTGTGCTGGCTGCGGGATGAGTGTAAGCTTTGCCTTTTACATTAGGACCCAACATACACATGCACGTATGCTAATGCAAACAAGAAACACAACTGAAATTGAAATTGCACAGTGGACTCCAATATCTCCTTTTCTGCTTATATATACTGTATATAAAATACATATATTTCTATATACATATATGTGCATGCAGCATTGGTGTTGAACCTAGAGCCTTGGGCATGCTAAGCACATGCTCTATCACAGAGTATAACCCCCAGCCCCCCATGTACATAAAATTTTTAAATAATTTGTTTTTACTTTATGTGTATCAGCGTTTATCTGCATGTATTACGTGTGCCACACTCATGTTTAGTGCGCATGGAGGGTAGAAGGGCACGGCAAAGCCTTCGGAACTGGAATTAGAGGTGGCTACGAGCCTCCCTGTGGGTGCTGGGTACCAAACTTAGGCCCTCTGCAAAAGCAGCACGTGCTCTTAATGGCTGAGCCATCTCTTCAGCCCACCCCCATTGTTTTGAGATAGGGTCTCACTATGTACCCCCTTGCTAACCTAGGAATCACAAAGATCCACCTGTCTCTGTCTCCCAAGTGCTGGAATCTAGTTTATATTTTTAGTCAGAACCCACTTAGGGGCTTCATGGCCCACTAATGAGTAGGAGCCAGAGTCTGAAAACACTGCTGGGTGGTGGTGGCACACGCCTTTAGACCCAGGACTTGGGAGGCAGAGGCCAGCCTGGTCTACAGAGAGTTCCAGGACAGCCAGGTTTACACAGAGAAAACAGCCTCAAAAGAAAGAGAGAGAGAGAACAGAGACAGAGATAGAGAGAGAGAGAACATTGCCCTGGGACTATATGGGAAGAGAAAGGGAACAAGAGAGGTAATAAGCGGAAATAATAATAAAAATACATTATATACATCCATGAAACTGTCCAAATGAAACCCATTACTTCACACAATATACACTAATTAAAAATAAAAGAAATGGGGGTCCAGTGAGACGGCATACAGACCTGATGACCTGAGCTCCATCCCCAGAACCCATATAAAGGTGGAAGGAGAGAACCAACTCCAGAGTCATCCCGAGTACCCCATATTCTGTGGCATGCACATACACAAACACACCATACACACTACACACATGGTGATAATTGTTAGGAAGAAACAGACAATAGTATGGAAATATCAGAATGCATTAAAATCTAGCCATCTAGGTACTGTTTTCTTTTTATTGAAAGACAGGCTCTCACTACATAGGGCTAGCTGGCTGGCCGGGAACTCCCCATGTAGACTAGGCTAGCTTTGAATTCTCATAGATCTGCCTGTCTCTGAAGGCATGTGGATCATACCCAGAGCCTAAATGTGATTTTTACTATAGGTCAAAGTAGTAAATGTCACAAGCTCTGCGGTATAGCTTTGTGGTAGACACTTACCTACCACACATGAGGCCCCTGGGTTTGATCCCTAAAAGCATAAAAACTAAAGAATAAAACAAGCTTGAAAATTAAAAAACAACAACAAAAAGCCACCTCCCTGGAGTCCTCAGGTCTCACCTTAAATACTGGTCAATGAGGGCCTCATGGTCCAGCAGCTCTTCGGGTGGGGGCACAGTGGGCATGGAAAACTGGTGCTGCATGGGGCTGGGCTGCAGCTTCTGGAAGGAGGCCTGGCAGATGAAGATGGCCTTGCCATGCTGCACAGCCTTCACAGAGCGCACTGAGAAACTTGCTCCGGTTCGCGTCCGCTCCACATGGTACAGCACTGGCACCTTTGGGTCTCCTGCAGTGGACAGAAGGGACAAGGTGACCCTGAGTAAGTCCATGGGCCCTGTCTGTCATCATCAGTTGGTAAGCAGACACCTCTGTTCTACTCATCCTCATTTTCTGTTGCTGTTCTTTGGAGACAAGGTTTCACCCTATAGCCTAGGCTGGCCTAGGACTCAGGGCAATCCTCTTGCCTCCGCCTCTCAAGTGCTGGAATTACAGGTGGAATTACCATCACACCCCTCTTGTTTTTCTTTTTCTCTTTTTAAAGATAAATTTCTCAATATGTTGCTATCACTTGCTTTTGGCAGAGACCCAGACAGGCATGGGAGTGTGGCATCTCCACAATAGAAAACAGATGTGCTAGGTGTGCCCTGATGGAGGCTGTGAGGCTGGGGATGCTGCAGGAGGACCAACTGGAAGGGGACAGTCTAGGTGATTGGTTAGGACACACAATTGCTTTCTCCACTTAGTACGAAGTCTGAAACAGGCAGAACATTAGAAGAGCTGTCAGTTAGTAGCCAAGTCCTTGCTGTTTGGGGCTGCCGAGGGTCTCCATGCATGCTAGGCAAGTGCTTCGCCACCGAAGGACACCTCCAGCCCCAAGGAGAGTAACTGAGATGACCATTCGCTTCTTGTTTCTATGGTTTTAGCCTTTCTCTGTTTATAAATACCAATCTCCCCTGCTTGGCTCATTGAAACACTTATTCTAATATCTCTTTCTTTTCCTTTTGATTTGATTGTGAGTCAGGATGTCACTGTGTAGCCCTGGCTAGCCTGGAACTCACTCTACAGAGGATACTCCAGGATTAAAGGCATGTGCCACCATGCTGGGCCCACACTTATTCTATTTTTTAAATTAAGTGTTCCCTGATTTCAGAATCAAAACTATTATAGAATAGTTTGATTACAGAATCAAAGCCAATTATTATACTTATGGATCAGTCTGTAATGCCAACTTGCAAGAGGTTGAGGCAGAAGGATCGGGATTCCAAGACAGACTAGATAATCTAGCTTAAAGATAAACAAAACCCAGTCATTCACTAGGCTGGAAGAATCACAGTATGGCCACATGTTGGGCTGCGACATGCCTCAGTTGGTATAGTACTTGCCTAACATGAGGGAAACCTTGGGTTCTAACCAATACCAAGTAAACAAGGTGTGGTGATGTGTGCCTGTAATCCCAGCACCCAGGAGGTGCAGGCAGGAGGATCAGAACTTCAGGGTCACCCATGACTACACAGCAGGTCTGAAGCCAGCCAGGGACACATGAGGCTGTCTCGAAATGAAGCACAAATCCCTCTCAACTAGCATATAGGGAAGGACTGGGCCAGGCCCAGTAACCACTCAAACACTTTATAGCACTGAAAAGCAAAAGGGAGGCTGGGAAGGGAAAGATCACCATCACCTCCGTATCTGTAAAGTGCCCTGGGTGGGTCCTACTGACGTTCCCTAAACCGAGGATGGAACCCAGGCTTTTGTCACATGCTGGTAAGAGCTTTACCAATGGGCCACACCCTCAACTCTCCATTTTCCTTCTTTTTTAAAAAATTAATTTATTATTAATAATTTATTTATTTTTATTTTATGTGCATTGCCTACATGTATGTCTGTGTGAGGGTGTCAGATCCCCTGGAACTGGAGTTATAAACAATTGTGAGCTGCCATGTGGGTGCTGGGAATTGAACCCAGGTCCTCTGGAAGAGCAGTCAGTGCTCTTAATCGATGAGCCATCTCTCCAGCCCCTTCTTTTCTTTCTTTGAGACAGGGTCTTGTAAAACTCATTATGTAAAACATCCTTGAACTTCTGATCTCTGTGCCTAGACTTCTTGGAATTCTGGGATTACAAGCACACACCAGTGAGAGGACCGAGCAGACGCCATGACAGGCTGCTCAGCCTTCTGTCCGAGAGCAGGCCTCAGTTTCAGTTTCCTGAGAATGAGCAAGCAGTTTCTGAGGAAGAGCCGAGAACAAAGGACAACCAATCTCCAACACCCCAACAGACACCAAGGATGAGGAGGCCTGGTACATGCAGTACCAGGCCTGAACCCCAGTGATCACACTGAGCTCAAGGTGATAACCAAATAAGGACAAAGCCTGGGACTTGTCTAGGCCTGCCCCAAAATGGAAAAGGCGTATCCTTAACCAGCCCCTGACTAGCCCTAGCCAATCAGAATATACTAATATGATTGCCACTTGCTTAAACCAATCATATCTGAAACGACCTAACTGCCCTAGGAACTCCCCTTAGCTGTGCTTAAAAGAAGCCTGGGAGCCTCTGGGGGTTGTCAACATTTTGCCTTTGTGTAAGAGGGACTGCCCCAGCATGCTGGTAATAAAGACTCTTGCTGATTGCATACGTGGGTGGTGGTCTTTAGTGAGGCTTCTCCAGGACCCTAACAACCACCACAGCCAGTTTATTTGGCGTTGGAGATTAAGGCCAGGGTTTCAGCACATCAGGCAAGCACTCTACCAACTGAGCTCCAGAGAACAACTAACTGCAAGAGTCAGTTCTGCCCTTCTCCCATGTGGGTCTGAGGATTTAACGCAGGTCCTCAGGTTTGGTCCCCCAATATTTTCTTTTTTTGTTTGTTTGTTTGTTTGTTTTTAAGACAAGATTTCTGTGTAGCCTTGGCTATCTTGGAACTGACTCTGTAACCAGGCTAGCCTGAACTCACAGAGATCCACCTACCTGTGCCTCCTGAGTGCTGGGACTAAAGGCGTGCACCACCACCAGCTGGTTAGGCTATATGGAATACAGTGATTCCCTAAAACTAGGGAAAAAGTATAAAGTAAGTGTTGTTTATGGGGGGGTGTATTTTTAAATTGATTATTGTGTGTATATGTGACTATATGGAGGGGTGGCCTGCCATGGTAGGCATGCTGGGGATGGAGGACAACTCAATGGTGTTGGTTCTTTTCTACCTTTCCTCGGGTTCTAGGGGTTGAACTCGGGTTACAAGGGCCTTTCCCTGCTGAGTCACCTAGAAGGACATGTGTTTGTTTTTCCAGGAGAGCACAAGACAGTGAGTGTTCCATTGTTTTGTTTTTTCCTAGTGGTCCTGGGATGAACATAGGGCCTCCACTCTGCAAGCTGCTACTGTGGGATGTCTTTCTGTATGCTGTGAGTATGTGTTGCTCCCATTGGCTAATTTTGGCCTATGGCAAGGCAGCTTTAGAGGCAAGTGGGGAATCCAAGCAGAGATACAGTGAAATGAAGGGCAGAGTCAGGGGAGACTCAAGCCGGCAGCTCAAGGAGCTACAAGATGCCAGCAGACCTGTAACACCTCGGCCACGTGGCATAGATTTATAGAAATAGGTTAATTTAAGATGAAAGAGCTAGCTAGCAAGAAGCCTGCCATAGTCCATACAGTTGGTAATTAATATAAGCCTCTGAGTGATTATTTTATTAGTGGCTGTGGACCTCAGGGCCGGGTGGGACACAGGAAAACTTCCAGCTACAAGCTGCCCTGCAACTGTTGATCTACATCACCAGCCCAGACCAAGAGTCTGCAATGAGAACTGCCCTATGTCTGAGCCCAGAGCTTTCAGAGTTTAAAAGATCCTACTGAAATATCTCTGGTCCTGCCTCTCCTCAATCTCAGCAGAAGAAGGTGATCTCCATGACCCTAGTAATTATTATAAAGCTGAAACTGAATTTCCAACCCAAACTGCCCACCTCCTAGCCCAATAGCAGTTGACAGTACTCTGAAGATTTAGCAATTTTGACCCTAGAAGAGTATACAGACTGAAGAAGAGAGCCATTAGTCCCACACACTGAGGAGTCAAAGGCAGGCAGATCTTTGTGAGTTCAAGGGCAGCCTGGTCTAAATGGTGAGTTTCAGGCTAGCCAGGCTACACAGTGAGACCCCGTCTCAAAACAATAACAAAAAAGTGAAAAAGGAGATGGTAAGATTGCTTATCAGTTAAGAGCACTTCTTGTTCTTGCAGAAGACCCATGTTTGGTTCCTGCCACCTACATGGTGGCTCACAATCCCCTGCAACTGCTAATTCTAGGGTATCCAATGTCCTCTTCTGGCCTCGTCAGACAATAGGAAAGCAACGTGGTGCATATAAATTCATTTAGGCATATACATATACACATACATTTAAAAAAATAAGCAAATACATATTTTTTTTTAAATAAAAGAGGACAAATGCCTTTAATCCCAGCTCTCGGTAGGCAGAGGCAAGTAGATCTCTGTGAGTCCCGGGTCAGTTAGGCATACACAGTCACACTCTATCTACACAAAAACCCTATCTCAACAGAAAATAAAAAACAGAAAAGCTACAAGGAAAGGCCCACCAAGAGCGGATAAGCATTAGTCTGTGGCATTAAGAACCATCAAACAAGTACTTAGTGGGTCTCAGGGAGTGTGCTAAGGATCTAGGTTGCTTCCAGAGCCTTTCTCAGCCTCCCAAGACCAGACCTGAACCAACACGATGGGCTGCCTCCCTGCTTTTCTTGGTAGTTGGGAATGGAACACAGTCCCCTTCATGTGCTAGCCAAGTGCTCTACTACTAAGCTACATCCTCAGCCCCCTAGGGACCTTTCAGGGAATCCCCTCTCCCTTCTCCATTCTCTTCTCTGATTCTCCCATTTCTTCTCCTCTTGAGTCAGCTTTCAAAGCCAGGAAGAAGTGACTGCTGGGCCATCAGGTGGCTGCAGGCAAGGAACTAGGGAAAGGGGTTTACCTGCCCGAACCAGGAAGAAGTGACTGCTGGGCCATCAGGGGTGGCTGCAGGCAAGGAACTAGGGAAGGGGGTTTACCTGCCCGAACCAGGAAGAAGTGACGGCTGGGCCATCAGGGGTGGCTACAAGCAAGGAACTAGGGAAGGGGGTTTACCTGCCCGAACAAAGTAGCAGTGCAGGGAGTGCACGTGGACGTCTTCACTCACAGACTTGGCTGCAGCCACCAGGGCTTGGCCCACAATCTGACCCCCAAAGAGCCGCTGGGAGGTGGGTACCCAGTAATGTCTTCCTCTGTGGGGAGAGGAAAGTGGAAGAGACTTGAGGAGGAGTGCTCTGAATTCCATAAGCCTCAGTGAAGGATCTCTCATGGAGAACCTGAGGAAAGCCAAGGACTCTGCTCTCAAACACTCTTAGGTCACAGCATAAAACTTCAGTTTTTATGTCTACCCAAGCCTTCTGTGGACTTTGTTCGGTCAAGCATAACAAACTAGCTCCCTCGATTTATAGCAGGAGTACAGAGAGCAAGTTCACACAACTCAACCATTACCAGTCCTGGGCAGTTTCAAGTCCATAGTTTCTTCCCTTCCCCAAACCAGGGGAAGGCGGAGGCCAGAAGTCGCTTGAGGCCTTGAATGGACACGAGGTACCCAAAAGCAGGTCTGGGGCTGGATTGTATGGATGAAGACTTGTCACCGGCACTCCTTAACTGACAAGGCATTTCTTCCCAAGAACTGGCTTCAGTGCTAAAAAGGCCCTGAGACATCCCATCTACCTCTTTAAAAGACAAAAAACAAAACAAAAAAACTGTCCAAGGGTGTGAGGTTGTGAAATTTAACACAGATGAACAATTTGGCCTGGCTTTCTAGGTGAAAGGGCTTGCTCAGTGCTGGAGCCTGAACCCTGAAGACACCATTTTTCATTATAATACATTTTGAAAACCACTCCTGGCCCAAGAAGCTATAATTACCTAGATGGAAGAAAGAAAGATCAAAGTTAAGATAGCTTCTGATAAAATCAGAGAGCTGTGGAGGCCAATATTGTCATTAAACAGGCATGATGGTGCATTCCTTTGATTCTAGCACTTGGGAGGCAGAGGCATGCTGATCTCTGTGAGTTCAAGGTCAGCCTAGTCTACAAAGAGTTCCATGACAGCCAAGGAGAACTATATAGAGGACCCTGTCTCAAAAAAACTGTCACTAACCAGCCAGGTCCTGCTAGCATTCAGGAGGCAAAGGCAGGTGGATCCCTGTGGGTTCCAAGCCAACCTGGTCTATGCAGTGAATTCCAGGACAGCCAGGATCATAGAGTGGCACCCTGTCTCAAAACAAAACAAAACAAAAAACTGTTATAAACCCGTACTGCAATCACCAACTTCCAGTGATGCCGGGGAGAAAACATACTCCAGGATAAGTAATGACTTAGCAGACCCCAGTTAATGGTGCAGGGACAGGATGGGGGAAAAAAGGCAGTGAGTTTATTAGAGTTGTGCATTGGTTTTAAAAAACGATCCGCTGAGTACCCTAAGGCAAACCTCTGCCCTCGATGGATTGATTCTACCAAGCTAAGCTGCCTTGTAGTAGGGTAACCCAGTGACCCTGCCTCCTGGTGAACAGCAAGGGCGGGTGTCAGGGACACGCCTTCTCCTAACTGCCGCAGAGCTTGAAGCCTGAACAGAACTCTTAACCCCAGAAGTGGGGGTCACCGGGAAGTGGCGGTGATCGCAACTCTCTATACTGAAACAGGGGTGCGGGCCTGGTTCAGGGTGCAGCCGGCTACCTGAAGAGATCCTCATCCAGCGGCTCGAGGTTGAGCACGCTGGTGACCAGCACACTACGGAGGTCTCCGGAAAGGTCGTCGCGGTCGGCGTCGCCCTCCGCATCCCCCGGGGCTTCTGGCGCTGACATCCTGACCTCTCACTGCCGGCGCGGAAGACACTGCGCTTGTCCAGGTACGCGGAAACTTATATAGGCGCACAGCGCTTCCGGCAGGTCGCCCCAGCGGCCGGAAATCCCGAAGGCGTCGCGGGGTAAGATGCAGATTGTGATTGGTCGATATGCCTGTCAATTGCAGAGTGGGCGGGTCCATCTCTACCTTACGATTGGAGAATATTTGTGCCACTTTGGGAGTTCTACCTGTGATTGGGTAAATCAGCAAGGGGGCGGAGCCTTGGGGCTGAATAATAAGGGATGAGTGTCATTTCCCTTCTGACACAGAGCAAAGTCGCCCCCAGGTTGCTGTTGCCGGTGTCTTCTCCGGCTCCTCCGGAGCTCCCTATAGGCCACCCAGTCGGGCCCCCGACCTGGGCCCATGCCAGCCGGTGCCCAGTGACCTCTGACCCCTGGCGTGATTCTGGGCTTTGGTGAGGGCCAGTCCCCGGCCATGGAGCTAGGCAGCTGCTTTAAGACCTACGAGGACTTCAAGGAGTGTTTCAGCGCCTACAAAAAGGAGACCAGGTGCTCCTTCATTGTCAGGGACTGCATCTCCGTCCGCTTCCACAACCTCAACCACGGCACCTCCTTCCGCGAGGATATCCTGTAAGGGCGGGGCAGGAGGGTGGGGAGGAGGGCTTCCTGGAGGAGGAGGAGGGTGTGCATGGGGCCACGCTGCCTAGGGCCACTCGGCAGGACATCTGCGGCATGCCTGCTGAAAAGCGAGGGAAACCTCACCGGCGTGGCCCTGTGCCACCAGGTGTACTTACTCCCCACTCCTTCATTCACAAGGTTTTCTGGAATTCGCAGTAACTGCATTTTTTGTTGTTGGTTTTTCTTTTCTTTTTTTTTTTTTGGTTGTTTGTTTTATTTGTCCGCTTGTTTACTGAGAGCATCTATCTCAAGCTCAGAGGTTGTTGAGGAATGGATCCAAACGCCTCGGTAATTTCCTCCATTAGTCCCCTCTTTACAAAGCAGTAATGTGCTCATCCGTTGGTTGGTTCGCTCTTCCGTTGATTCATTTTGCAAATGACTCTTGAGCTCCTGATACAACCGTTTCCAAACACCTTTCTGACCAGGGCCGGCTCTCCCTTTTACATCTGCTTTGCTCTGCTGGGGTGTGTGCCAGAATCTATGGGTAGTTGTTCTTAAACTCATTTGGCTTTATGAACTAAAGGCTGTTGAAAGTTCAAATGGTTTGGGGGCTCAAGTGAAACACCCACTATAAATGTAGCTTTTAGTTTTACTTTGAGAAAAAGAATGATAAGGTGCATGTATATAATCCCAGTGCTTGAGAGGCTGAGGCAGGAGGATCATGAATTTGAGGCAAATAAATCCATTTTTTTAAAATACAGGACAAAATGAGAAGCAGGCCCCAACTAGTCATCTTAGCTAATGACTCCTTTGTGACAATGAAGGCCAGAATTCTGTCTCGAAATCCAATCAATTTGACAGTCAATTCAAGTATTAATTACAACATAGGGGCCAACTCTGACTCAAAGAACACCAGAATCGGAGATCAGGATTGAGCACTGGACAGGCCAAGGAGCCGGACTGTGTTCTGGCTCTCCTGAAGTCCAGGGCCATTCCTGGCTACACATAAAGATGAGTAAGTGCCACTAAGGAGTTAAAGATGACATGGACTTGGACTAGGCAACTAGTAAGGATCAAAATACTGAAATAAGCCGGGCGGTGGTGGCGCACGCCTTTAATCCCAGCACTCGGGAGGCAGAGGCAGGTGGATCTCTGTGAGTTCGAGGCCAGCCTGGTCTCCAAAGTTCCAGGAAAGGCGCAAAGCTACACAGAGAAACCCTGTCTCGAAAAAAACCAAAAAAAAAAAAAAAAAAAAAAAAAATACTGAAATAAACAAACGGGGCTCAGTGGTTAAGAGGACTTACTGCTCTTGCAGAAGAGGACTCAGGTTTGGTCCCCAGTGCCCATAGGGCAGATTACCAACACCTTTAACTCCAGTTCTAGGGGCTCCAGTGCCCTCTTCTGGCCTTCAAGGGCTCCTGAATGCACATGATGCACATATACACACTCAGGCACACACACATACACATTAAATAAATGCATGTGGTGTGGTGGTGAATGCCTTTAGGTCCCAGCACTTGGGAGGCAGAGTCAGGCCTCTGCCTGTGAGTACAAGGCCAGTCTTCTGGTCTAAGTAGTGAATTCAGGGCAGCCAAGGACTACATAGTAAGAACCTATCTCAAAAAATCAAAAATAAATAAAAAGAAAATAATAAAAGTCTATCAAACAAATACACTTTTTTGGTTTGGTTTTGGACACAAGCCCTTTCTGTATAGCCTGGGTAACCTCAAACTCATGGCAATTCTCCTGTCTCAGATTCCCAAGTGCTAGGATTACAGACATGAACCACCATGTCTGACTGGGACTTTTTGCCTTGGCATTGTCCCCTACCCAATGCAATAAAACTATTTACATAGGATTCACATCATGGTAGATAGTATAATCTAGAGATGCTATAAAGTCTATAGGAGACTATATGCAAACACTGTACTATGTTGTATGAGATACTTGAACAGCTGCATATTGTGGGATCTGGAAATCATGACTCTATGTGGTAATTGCCTTCAAAAAGATATTTAAGGGGCTGGAGAGATGGCTCATCAGTTAAGAGCACTGACTGCTCTTCCAGAGGACCTGGGTTCAATTCCCAGTACCACATGGCAGCTCACAACTGTCTGTAACTCCAGTTTCAGGGCACCTGACACCCTCACACAGACATGCATGCAGGCAAAACACCAATGCACATAAAATAAAAATAAATCAATGAAAAGGTGGGTGTGGTAGCTCTTGCCTGTAATCCCAGCACTCAAGAGGATGAGGCAGGAGGATTAAATAACAGATGCTGGAAAATCAGGCAAGGCTTCTCACTGAAATGAGTGTTTTTGCCTGGGCCTGTGAATTAATAGAGGCCGAGGACAGGAGATCCGTGGTTAACTACTACGGAGGAGTTTGATGAGAAGTGCCAATGGGAGTGAACACAGATTGTAAAAAAGAAGGATGCTGAGAAACCGTGGGCTGCCGGCTTGGCAGGAGGTGAGGCCAGTTGCAATCTGTCAGCAAGTACATTCCGTGACTGAGATACCTGAACTCCATGCTATGTGGTGGTACCCTGCTAAGCTCGCCTGCAGGCAGGTCATCCAGCATGGCAGATGCTGTACTGTCCAGCATAGCAGGCCTTAATAATTGTTGTGTCAATGACTTATCAAGTGTCAAACATGATTTAGGGAAATGGGTGCTGCGGGAATTTAGTTTTCTGCTTGCTGCTCCAAAAAAATGTATGAGTTTAGGGCGTTGCGGGATATTTGATCACACTGTGAACCCCCGAGATTGCATTATTTACTGGGAAAACTGGTTCCTAGTTGTGGTGTGGCTCAGCCCTAGCATACACCTTTAATCCAAGAGCTTTCTGCTTGAATATTGTCAACAGGATTAAGTAAAATCAACCATAGGTCAAGAGGTGGAGCACACAACCAATTGACAGGAAAAAAACCATAAAGAGTAAAAGAAGTCAGGAGGATAGAGAGGGACGCACAGGAAGTAGAAGCGGGGACATCCGGTTGGAGGTGTTTTGCTTCAGATGGCGAAGGAGAACACTCTCTGGGATGGCGCTGGAAGAGGAAGCAGCTGTGTGCTTTCTCGCCCTCTCTGAGCTAGCAGGTTTTCACTCCAACATCTGGCTCCCAAGTCTTTATTGATAAGATAGAATGATAGAGCCTTAGTTAAAAACAACATTAGGGGTTTATTTTAATCCTAAATTTTTGGTTTGGTTTGGTTTGGATTTTTCAAAACTGGGTTTCTCTGTGTAACAGCCCTGGCTGTCCTGGAACTTACTCTGTAGACCAGGCTGGCCTTGAACTCACCTGCCTCTGCCTTGGCTCTTAATCTTAAATTTTTTTTTTTTTTTTTTGGTTTTTCGAGACAAGATTTCTCTGTGTAGCTTTGCGCCTTTCCTGGGACTCACTTGGTAGCCCAGGCTGACCTCGAACTCACAGAGATCCGCCTGGCTCTGCCTCCCGAGTGCTGGGATTAAAAGGCGTGTGCCACCACCGCCCGGCTTAATCTTAAATTTTTAAAGACTCATTTTTATTTATATTTGTGTGTATGCGTAGAGACATTGGATCCTCTGGAGTTGTAGTCACAGTCAGCTGAGAACTACCTAATGTGTATACTGGGGACTGATGTCAGGTCCTCTGGAAGAGCAGCAGGTATTCTTAATTACTGAGCCATTTCTCCAACCCCAAGTTTTGTGGTTTAAAAACGTAAATAGGGGCTAGGGAAGTGGTTCAGTCAGTAAAATGTCTGCCACACAAATATAGGGAACTGAGTTCAGATGCCCAGTTCTGTGTAGAGGCTGGGCCCTGCTGTGTGCTTCTGTAAGCCCAGGCCTCTCTGGCTAGCTCACCTAGCTAAATCTGTGAGCTGAATCAGTGAGAGACCCTATCTCAGAAAATAAGGTAGAAGCCAAGAGGTGGTGGTGCACGCCGTTAATCCCAGCACTCCGGAGGCAGAGGCAGGCGGATCTCTGAGTTCGAGGCCAGCCTGGTCTACAGAGCAAGCAAGATCCAGGACAGCCAGAATTGTTACACAGAGAAACCCCATCTTGGGGAAAAAAAGAAGGTAGAGAGGCGGGGCATAGTGGCCCACACCTTTAATCTCAGCACTCCAGAGGCAGAGGCAGGCAGATCTCTGTAAGTTTGAGGCAGCTGGTTTACATATTAAGTTGCTGCATTCCAGTCAGGGTATGTCGAGAAGCAATAGAGGAAGATACCCAATATTGACCTCTGGCCTCCAAACACATGCACATTCATGTGCATGCACATGTGTACACACCCTCCTGTCCCTACCTCCCCGTCTGCTCTGCTCTTTGAAGACCTGATTGCCTGCATTGGACATGCTTGAGAAGATGTCAAGGGGAGGGCAGCTGTGAGGGCTGCAGGGATGATGACCTGGAAGAGGAAAGTAGCACGCCAAAGCACTCTCCCCCTAAAGTGGGTGTGAGCCAGGGGGTGTCTGAGACTTGTGCACACAAAGCAAGTGATAGAAAGGTGGGAGC